AAAAAAAAAAAAAACTGGCAGAAAACCGGGGGACGCCTCTGGATTTCCTCGCCCAGCTATCACAAGGCACTACCCCCACAGCCATAGCAGATGCCACATGGAGGATCGAATTTGGAACAAGAGTCAAGACTTTTGAAGGTTACAAAATATATTCCTAGATTTGCCAATAGAAGTGCTAATTACTTTTTGATTATCAGTAGAAATTAAAGTTCTGAAGGTTATAGATTCTAATTAATATGACAAAATAAATATCTGTTTTGAAAGAAGATATAAAGCATGGAAATACACTTTTGAAGGAACTGAAATAAAGTAGTTTGTCCTAAGAATGGTTATTTCTAAATGAGTGAAAAGAGACAAACTAAGAAGGGCAGAAAAAGTTATAGAAGGACTGGGAAAGTCTTTAAAATTTTTTATATATATCGTAGCTAAATATAATTAAATAAGTTTAAATATCAAAAATAAGTTGGTACAAAATTAAAGCTAAGTTTTCTCTCTCTGCTAACTAAGATCAAGTTTATTAGACTACTGATGTTATTTGGTCTACTACTAATAGTATAAAACATTTTTTGCCTGAAAAACAAAACAAAATAAGAGACCGTTACATTTTTCTGAACACCCCAACTTTTATCGGGCTTCAGCGATTCAGCAGCTGGGTGTCAGCGTCCTGCTCAGCAAGGGCTGGGGAGCGCAAGAGGGGCCGTGAAGGGTTAAGAAAGACAAGAGCCCAGTGTCAGGTTAATGCGGGCCAGGGTGTTCAACTCTCTTGTGGGCTGAGCCCCGAGTCAGGCAGGTGCAAAGGTTTTATTGTCTAAAGTTAAAAGGCAATAAATTCTAATCTATTAAGTCTGTGTACCTAGCAACTGTCTTCCGGAAGCTCCCGTGTGCTCCAGCACTTAATGTGCCTGCAGACACACACACACACACACACACACACACACACACACGACCCCAGGAGATGGACTCATGGACTCAGCATTCTGAGACCATCTGATAAGGAAGCTTTATGGAGATCTTTGCCTCCGGTCTCAGCACTCCAAGACACTCCCTTATGACCATGGGGTCAGTGTCTGGGAGCAGTTGGCTCAGCAGTTGAAACCATCTGATAAAGAAGCTTTATGGAGATCTTTGCCTCGGGTCTCAGCACTCCAAGACACTCCCTTATGATCTTGGGGTCAGTGTCGGGGAGCAGTGGACTCAGCAGTTGAGAGGCTACAGCTGGGTCTCCTCCCCTCGAATCAAACCTGTTTTATTAAAGTCTCCACAGGACTCCCCCAGAAGACAGACTGTTGCTTCTGTTCCTGTGAGCCACCTGAAGACCTTAATCTCCTCTTTGAACAAGCAAGTCACTCTCCCAGGACTGATAACTACTAATAACTCACCCAGACTCCTGGAGCTGCTCCTTAGTACCTTTCTCTTAAGAGCTCCAGTTTTCCTCGTTACTTACACCCCACCTGAAATCCCCTTCTCACTTAGGGATCCTAGTTATAGTCCCTTCTCTCACGATTACTACTTCCTCTTCTCATTATCCTTGGGCTACTCCTATTTGGACCTTGCTTTATTAACCTTCTTGTCAAGTTTCTCTCTTCCAGAATCGAGTCTATTAAGCTACCCATGACTCTTGTACAAGGCTTCCAGCCCTTCCCCGTGGGGACTCTATAACCCCCTTCATCCCCTTGGATGGGAACTCTAACTTCCAGCTCAACGCCCCTAACTTTCTTCAGTCCATAGATGAGACTGCACAGTTTTCAGGGCCCAGTTCTTCCACCATCCCTGACCAGCCGTCTCGTAGGTAGGGACAGTGCTACACCCCTACCCAGCCTGAAGCAACTACAGAAGACTGCCCTCCATCCGTTCCCCTAAGATGTTTCATTGCCGATCAGAAATGGGGGAATGACCAAGCAGAAGATGCTAATGGAAACCAGCCTGGGAGCTAACAGAAGTGAGCCTAAAGATTAACTGACAAGTCACAGGAGTTAACGAAACTAGTCTGGGAACCTACAAAAATAGAAAGCCCCTGAATCCCCTCACCTAGGGCAGCTGTCCTCGTCAGACACCGTCATGGGCACACACTCTCTCTCTGTCCAGCCTTTAATAACACCTTTCTTTGCTCTCCCACTTTGTGTAGTCTTGTATGAGTGCTTTCAGCTTTTGCAAAGGACCAGGATGAATTCCAATGCCAAAACCGTGCTACCTTATCTGCATCCATAAAAATGCCTCCCTTCTCATAAATACCCGTTACCTTTGTCTCTAATCACAACAACTATACGGATTTCTGCTGAATTGGTGCATCCAAACAGCTATTCTTATTGATCTTAAATAAACGTGTGGATGGAAAAGGGACGACAGGTTAAACCTGACAAGCTTAGGAGACTGAAAATAAGATGGCATGAACACACACACACAATAATTTTTCAACTAAGTGGGCCGTGGTGGGAATCACATCTTGAGCTTCCTCATTAAGTTAACCTGTGCCTTTTCAGTGGGCCTGTTCTGTCTTTTTGTACCTAAGAGAACATCTTTAATCCTGTTTCCGTTCCAGAGCTGGAAACTGCAAAATTCCTCATTGTTATGCTTGTCTCCTGATGGCCATCTCTATGTGCTGTAAAAGCCGAACTGTTAGCTCTCCTGCACCCCCCTGTGTGGGAGGAGGACCTGTCTCTCCAATGCACTTTTATCCAATCCCAGAGATTTTCCCGCTTTGCTTTCTCCCACCCCCTTCATCTATCACCAATGGATTTCATGTAACCTTCCTCCTTTAATTTTATGTATAAAGTAAACTGTAATACTGCCATTCTTCGGAGCATTTTCTTAATCCGTTGGAATTTTGCTTTCTGGCAATTGTCGTCAGTTTGACTCAAACAAACTCTTATAAGTTTTCTCTTAGGCTTGATGTTTTTCATCAACAGGCGCTTGTTGCTGCTCACTTTGAAGGGCTTTTTATTTTTAGGTTAACAGTTGCTGGTACTTAAGAATCAGGTCTCACGTACACCTCAGATTCCCATGTCTTGAAAAATCAGAAAAGCAAGGCACACTGGGCTGCCTTCTGGCAGCGACTGAGACAGAGCTGAGCAGCTGCCGCCCTCCCGGCCACAGGCC